CCTCGCACGGGAAGAGCGCAATGATGGTGCCAACTTGGGCCAGTGAAGCAACGTCCTCCACAACTAGACTGAAGAACAAAAGGATAGCAACTTGTCTGTTCCTCTTCCCCCAGTTCCCCAGTGCTGTTCCCATCCCCCCAATTCCCCAATAAAAATCTTAAAAAAAAACCCCAATTCTCTAATATTAGCTTGTTTACATTTTAAATTTTACCACTCATTAATGTACACAGCCATTGAGCATGTGTATGGTTTTACGTTTGTCTGTAGCTGCTTAGAACCTACTATGATTACAGTCATAGTTACCTGTTTGATTCAAGTAGTACCTGGTCAGCTACCTGCAGAAAAATCTGCCTTTCTTGCCCGCGCCCACCCCAAGCCTCCTTATCTCCAAGAGGTTATCTTATCAAGAGAGTTTGGATGACCCTGGGAAGTCCATCAGAACTAAGGCAAGGGCTAACAACTCCCAATCCTATGAACAAAGATAAGTAATGTTTCCACACAGGGGGGGGGGGGGGGAAGCTTTCTTGTTGGCTCTGGGGAGATATTGCAGTGTAAACCAGGCTGTAAGAGACTGTAAGGAAATGTAGAGGGTACCTTACCACTCCCTGATACCAAATTTATACTTCAAGTCCTCTGTCACTCCAACGTAAGCTTTCTCATTAGAGAGCAGGAAAAGCCACATATCTCCTGTGAATGTGCATTGAGTTTACTATAGAATTTAAATCCACTAAACAAGCTTCCTTAATAGCTTTGCCCAAGTTAGGAGTGAACCAAGAATAAAAGCAGAGATTCTGCCTGAGAAAAGCAGCTCTGTAGCTTTGCCCCCCTCTCCTTCCTCCCTGTGGATGAAAGGCTGAAGAGGAGGGTTAGGAGACGAGACCACAGGTGCTTAGCTCACTCCATGTCTTGAAGGAAGGTGTTCTCTCCCTGAGGCAAAAAAGCTCTGAGCACTCGGAGTTTGCACAAGGACATTTCTTGGGAACTGCATGGTCAGGTTGCCTGTGGAGCGGCTCCCAACTGGGGGCTTCTGTCCCTAACATGGGATAGCGCACATGGCTCTCAGTTCCTGCTCCCCCACCTCTCCTCCGGGGCCTCTCTTCCCTCTGTGCCCTGTGCCATAATAAAGTTTTCTCTGGGCACTTACCTTCAGCTTTAAAAAACTTTAATTCCTTGTCTGCCTCATCTTAAGAGATTTATAAACTCATATTCCCATTTCATATTCATGAACTCATGAACTATTACAAGTAACATCATATTTTATCATCTTTTACACACTATAATGCATATTCATAACTATTCTTGTTCTGGGGAGGGATCATTATAAAGTATCACAGATAGCCTGAGGGGTGGGCAAGATTTGGGTGGGTGAGAGCCGGTTAATGTTTTCCAACTCTTAGAAATTAATTATGGTTAAGAAATGATATCTTATATATAACTCTATAGGTGACATTAAATTCTCCTTTTCCTCTTTTAATAAAATTGAAATTATTTTTCACCACCATGCTAATAAAAATTCTTTCAATAAATACTTTTTGAGTGATAATCCTTAAGCACCATTGTTTAATAGGCCCAACTAATTTACCCTTTCTTCATTGGTCTTTTCTGTACTTAGGTGTAAACTCCTTTAGACAGGAAAATGTCTATTTTAATGGATACTGACCAATGGGTAATAAGGACTATCCTATTTAATGTGGACATGTAGCAATACTTCCTCCAGAGGAGAATGCATGCTAATGTTTACTTTGAGCTTACTGTACATCAGGTATTATTCTAAGAGCTATAAACGGAATCAATGTATTCATTCTTCATGGGTTGCTATTATTAACCTCATTTTACAGATGAGGAAATTGAGGCATGGAATGGTTAAGCAATCTATGCAAATTACAAAGTTTCACAGTGGCTAGTAATAATAAGAGATACAAACAGTGTGAATCTTCATTTCTTTAATCATTTCCTCAACAACTAACCAACTTCTTCTACAAAGGCTTATAGTCGCCACACAAATAGTCTCTCGAAATTAGATAATAAAGCAGAAAATGAGAGCTGAATTCTTCTCACTGGATCCAGTTCCAGGAAGTCCAGTTTCCTGTATAATTTCTAGTTCATTTGTTAGTTTGCAATACCTTCCCCAGCCTTTAGAAATATAAACTGATTATATCCAAAAATAAATCTTACTAGATATTGTTAAGTATCTTAATCTTTATAATTAAAATAGTCTCTGGTTACCAGAGGTAATTTTGTTTATACGTACTTGTTCATATATAATTCTTTCTTGCAGTCTCTCTGCCACAGGGGGGGGGAAAATTGTGTATAAAATGCAAAGGGAGTTAAGTAGGAAAAATTACTCTCAAACATCTTTTTAGATGAACTCTATTGACATTCCAAACCCATGTTAGTCTCTCAGCAAACAAAGTTTGCAAAAATGAAAAACAAATTTCTTTGAACTTCTCCACAGGAGTATGACGAAAACATTAGTCATCTGTAGTCATAAACAATTAGAATTGGAAAGTGAGTTCTGTTTCTAAGTATTAAAAAAAAACTAAAAATCACCCATAATCCCACCGTTCAATTAGAATTAAAGATTAACAAAGCCCTAGATGACTAGCATGCACTCCTTCATGTCCAAAGGTGATTTAGCTATTCTTAGTTGGTCGTTCTTACAGATGGTGTTTAAAAGTACATGCAATGAGAGGTACAAGTTTAAGACTTCTCTAAACCCCGACTCTCCATCTCTGTTAATGGCCTTCCTGGTGTTAGAGATTTGTTTAATGATCAATAGAGCTTTCTCTTCCTACCATTGAGTCTTTCGGAAAGTAGCATAACCAAGTCAATGTTTAACTGGATTCTTCCGTCTGAACCCACAAAGGGAGAGTTGAAGGGAAGTCTCCATGGAAACCAGCCGCCCAGGAAGTGGCCAGAGGGGTTAGTGTGGTGAAATAGAGCTACAAAGATGTCATGAAGGAAACAACTGCTTTGTAAATCAGGGGGTAAAAGTCTGTAATGCCTTGATTAAAACAAGCTACGTTAGAGGCCCAAAACCACTTCCTCATGGTTTTCTTTTAAATGTCTTGAATGTAAAATGGGCCTGAGCCATTCTAAAGCTCATCCTAGAGTGACCAAGGTAGCACCTCTGCAAATCAAAGTGGAAGAGACTCCCTCAGCCCACCCTGTGGACTTTGCATGCAACCAGAACCTGGAAGAAACGGGTTCATATTCATTTGCAAGACTGCAGAACCGGTATAAAGCTTTGGAAGGGCAGCTACCGCCTCTTCGAGAGACCTGGTATGGAAGATATTCTGCAGGTAAATATAACCCGCCATGAGATTGATGTATTTGTGCCAAGGAGAGCTATTGACAGAGTTATCTGACTGTCCATCTCCATAATCTCAGAAAGTTTCTAAATTACTGAAATACAAGGCAACGTTTTTCGATGAAAGAGTGAATATCAATTGTAAGAATCCTGGGTACATTAGAATGGGTCTGTAAACTGTGCATAAGGGGCTTTTTACCATTCCATGTGAGAAGGAAAAATCATTTTGTTTCAGCTTAGTTTATAATGCTTTCAATGTTTATACTTAGCTTTGCCAGGCAATTAAAATTATTTAGATAAAGGTGTGATAAATTATGAAAATCATATGTTTCAGTTAGATTCTAAATTTAAACCATTCTCTCCAGTACCATTTAATGCATGAATTTTTGTTGTTTTGAAAGCAACACTTTAGGAGTCCATTCTAATGTGAATTTGGAAACCACCCCAAACAGAATTGATTTATTGCAGTACAGATGAGTGGATGAGTCACCCTTTCCCCAACCCCGTATTTTTCATGGTCATCTGCAGAACTAAGAGAATTGTTTCCCATTATAATAGGAAGCTTTGAGCCTGAAGTGGCTATAAATTATCCTGGGATATTTTACAAGACATGTAAATTATTTTATATCAACCACAATGATAATTAAACAGACATTCTAACTTGGGAAGAGAAATGTACATATGCAAATGAATATATGGATGTAATTTTCTCTTTCCTGCACATTCTGGATCAATAACACAAGTAAGTTTTCATTATTGGTCAACTTGGCCAGAAAACCTTATATTCTCTTTCAGTACCTAGTAAACCTTACCTAGAATGATCTTCACGGCTATTTTCTGTAACTGACAACCTTTGACTGGATCTATATGACCAATGTTCATATGTTCTTCAACTTCCTAAGGGCATGAGTGGGAATTTTCCTTTTAATTTTATTGAAGAATTCCTTTTTTATCTAAGCCCTTTATCCAGAGTTCTAAGATTTTGGTAACTGAATGGTAAAAGCTGATTCTTTCGTGTTAGAGTCCCAACTGGGAAATGTTCTTTTTATCAAATGGCAAAAATCACAATAAAAATAAATAACAAGGGAATGGTAAGCATTCTGACCACTATCAGAATAGGGGCCCATATGCTAATCCCAGCTCCACCAAATACCAAATAGTGTGACTTTAGGCAATTTACTTCTTCAGTTTTTTTTTTTAACTATAAATCGGGTGAAAATAACTGCCTGACACAGCCTATGCCATTTTGGGAGGACCAAATTAAACAATGGGTTGATATCTCCCAAATCATAGTATACAAATAAGGAGTAGTCAGGCTCCTTAACAAAACTTTGCTGAAAATATTTAGATTTTTTAATCCAGTCTGTATTTTGTTGTCGCAGCTATTCTTTCTACCTCACTCAATATGCAGAAATCTCTTGAAAAGTAAGGACACAACGAAGTTCTTAAGGTGGTCATTCCAATGTTTTAAGGGTAGAAACACATCATTACCCAGGAGTTTTTCCACTTAAAATGCAAAGTGGGACTGTAGGATCATCTACACAACACTCTGAAAATCAGAATGCTTCCATCTTGTCAAATAGGAACTTGATTTATGCAAGGCTGGCCATGGTAGTAGTCCCAGGGCCCAGGATAACAAGCCAAAAAAATCAAATTCATGGGGTGACCAGTTTGCTCAGTTGGTTAGACCATAGTGCTGATAACACCAAGGTTGCCAGTTCGATCACCGCATGGGCCACTGTGAGCTGTACCCTCCCTAAAAGAGTCAACTATGCCATTGTACTGGGTAGTTGGAAAAGTCATGACGTATTTTTTCTATGTTTTTCGTTGCAAAAATGCATCATGACTTTTCCGACAACCCAATAGCATGAAAGCAATGTGTAACCAATGACCATGGCTGTTCCCCAATAAAATTTAAAAAAAGAAATCAAATTCATAATGGATCTCTTGAGCCTCTCTGTTTCCCAATGAAGCTTAGCCCTGGATTGTGTTATCAGGCAAGAATACTGACATGTATTACAGTGGCAGCTTCTGGGAATGTCTTTCCCTAGTTGGGGGGACTCTTTAAGTAGGAACATACAGTGCTCAGCACTGCACACTCCCATGACACATGCATGCTCCATTTCTTTATCACCTCTCTCTAACTAATACCTATCCATCTATATATTTCATCTGAAAAGAGAATTTATTTTCATTTCTTAAAGCTGTATTTTTTTTTCTGATTTTTCTCTATTATTTTTGGGAGATTTCATGAGATTAAAATAATCAGTAAGTTTCTTTTTTCAGGCCAAATTCTATGTTTGAATAACATTTGTCATCAATACATGAATTGTGTGGATCTTCCTCTAAATGTCAATCTGGGGAGAAGATGAGGGAAGCAGAAATTAAATCCTTGGTCTAGGCTAATATTTTATCATTTACATTCATGTAGGGCCCTTGCTTTATATATTTCATCTTTACATTCAACCTACAGGTTAGATATATACAACTAAGAAGATACAAAATTGTGTTAACAAAGCCTAATAACTTATGATTAACCTAATTTAACAGTAAATTTGTTTTTAATGGTTTGTTCTTATTTCTCCCCTAATCTTTCAAGTGCCCAGGGCCATGTATTTTGACATCCCACTGGAACAGGGAGAAACAAGTATAATTAAAAAGCATCCACCCCGAAGACTTCAAGTAAGAATTCAAAAGGCTTCATAAGGAATTTCTTGGATTTAATGGTAACATCCCTTTTCAGCCATAATAATAAAAGAGGGACATTGACAACGACCATGCGAATGAGAATGACAATGTTGTTAAAGAGAATGTGGTCAATGCAAAGACTATAGTTCTTTAGGATTTCCTTTTGTAATGATTTCACTTTTAAAGCTACCACCAAAAGAAGGAAGTATAGTACAAAAGACATAGCCATGATGGGACTCAAAGACCTGAATCTTGCATTGATTAGCTGAATGACTATGGGAAATTTAGTTATAATGAACAATAATAACAATAACAACAGCACTACTATTTAATTACCACCTACAACAAGTCAGGTACACTCTAGACAACTTGATCTATGTCATTCATTTAGTTCTCATTACCCTCTATGAGAAAGGAAGTATTATCTTTGCTTTATGCATGTGGTTCAGAGTTAAGTAACTTGCCCAAGGTCAGCAGAGGCTAGATATCAACCAGGTCTCCAACGCCTGTGCTCTTAACAGTCAGCATAGATGATCTCTCCAGCCCTCTGTCCCTAACCTTTTGTTGTACTAAGTGTTAACTGGTTGTTGAAATTCAGGACATTGGATTCCACGGCAGCAAAGGAAGAACTTTAAATGCACTCACCTTAATATATATTTAATGAGTTTTCTCTAGAGAACTATAAATTCTAAGAACTCTCACCCTAGAAGGGGAACAAGATCTGAGTGGGTCCTTGAAAACTAGCATCAGCTAAAAGGTGGGCTAGGGGCTTTCTTGTGTTCGGCATCTATCACTGACATATGAAAAGGGAATTGGAGCCAAATCTCACCTGCTACACAATTCACACAGATGACTGGACCAATCCCATGGGTATTTGAACTCATTTGTTAGGCATTATTTCTAATTCAGTTTTTTTATTTACCTGTTTTCTCCAGAAGCTCACAATCATTAGTTGATGTGATTATATCCTTTGGTCACAAAAAGAGCCAAAATATTAGAAACTTCAAAATGTTGTTTACTGAATGAAAAATAAAGTGATGTTAAATTTTTGAGCACATATCTAGCTAAACTGAATAGTTTTAAAACTTATGATTTATTCCTAAATCAAATGCACCGTTTTAAAGGAGTGTGTTTAATATATGTTCCTGTGGAGACTCTAAGCTGAATATCTCAAATAGAAGATATTACTATAATCAGTGAAAAACATGTGTGTAGCAGTCTATAGTTCACAGAGTATTTTTTATATCTATCAACCCTAAATAAGCTAAAGTTTGGCTTTGACTCTCTCGAGTCAATCAAGCTCCAAAAGGGAACTTTGGTATTTTAAAGTCAAAGACTGCACCCCCACATCCTAACCAACCACTTTAAAAAAAAAAAACAAGACAAATGAATTATTTGAATGCAAATACTATGTCTCATTCAGTCTTATATCTTCAGTCACTAACATTTAATATGTACCCCACAAAAGGCTGTGAATTAATGAATGAAGGAATAAACAGGTGAATGAATGAGAATGAGACCAATTATAGCTGGTGGGGAAAAAATATATATCAAAGTGCACTCCCTATTTCAGACCTGTAGCATCACTGTATTGGAAGTCCAACTGATTAGCCAAAACAATCAATGTGATGAATTATAAGCATATAGGAGTGTTTTTTTGAACCCAAGGGCTGGGGGGTACCTGGATTTCAGGGAAGAGCTATGCCTTGGGACTTGAAAGGCAGAAGAACTCTCTCTGTGTCTCCCTTAAGCTCTTCATGCATTTGCTTTACTCTCTCCCTGCAAATTGACTTTCTCATCTCCTCAATACCACTGGTGAAATATGGCCGCCCTGAATTTGCAGCTTATAGTTCCAGTCAAACAGAGTAGCCTGGCCCTCTTGGCTCCAATTCCAAATTCCTGGGAGAAAATATCTTATTGGCTCAGATTTGCTTATGATTCTAGTTCTGGTCCAATGAGCTATTACCAGAGGATATGCTCATACAGTAGAAATGTGGGCACAAAAGCCCTCCACCATAGAGTCTGAGGCCAGCTCTCAGAGAAGAGGGAAACCACCGGGAACTTGGCAGACACTCTCAAAGATATCAACTATAATTATCTTCACAAATGAGGTTCAGCACATTTTCCACTGCAAATGGGTTTTTGAGAGAATAATAAATGCTAGGTTCCCATGACATGCTAATTAATAGCCTAATCTCTGCCAGAGAAAATTCTGAAAGTATTTTTAATTATTAAACCAAATCTAATTGCACCTTAAGTAATTTGAATTCCATATTTGGCATTCTCCACTTGCTGAACATCTACTCAAATAAAGAGCAGGTCATGAACTAAGGCTCTCCAACTTGGAGCTGCTAAGATCTGAGAGCCTCTGCCAGGGAACTCTGAATGAAATATGCCTGTCCCATGTCAAAGAGTTGATCACCACTGTCCCTTCTGGCCTGATTCATGTTCTCATCCACTCATCTCAGGTGCACCCCAGAGTGGAAATATTCCCACCACCTGCCAGCCCACCGCTACCCAATAGTATTTCCTCAGATGACTCCCTCACTGCCAAAGATTTGCTCAAATCTCGCCTTCCCTATAAGGCTTATCCTGACAACCCATCGACAACTGCAACCCTCACCCTGGCACTCCTGATTTTCCTGAGCCTTCACTATCTTTTCTTTTCCCCAGAACACTTATTTTCATCTAACACACCAAGCAATTTACTTATCTATTATATTCAGTATGTATTTTCTTCACTGCCTCCCGCCCCCTCCCTGGCCCCAATGCTAGAATATAATCTTCACAGAGGTAGGAATTTTTGTCTGTTGTCTTCATAATGTGTCTAAAACAGTACCTGGCACATAATAGTTGATCAATAAGTATGTGTTGAA